ACACAATTAACCACTTATATACTTACTGTAATCGCCGAAACTTATGTAATACCTACCGCAGCAGCTGATCGCTTGATGACTCCGAGTCATCGTATATAGAGCAAACAATTCTTCGCTGTAGGTAAATCGTTTGCCATAAATTATAAGTGATAAGTGATAAAAATTGTTTTCGGAATCATCAGCAAATTTGGATATACAGGTTGATGTTTTTATAGTGATGACAAACTCAACTTAGTGGTAGTGAATCTATTTTGTAGTCGTTATATGATGGCCATTCCTGCCGACTTTTAGTTGGTCGATAGTTCAGTCGGGCTTTTAATCAGATGGACATGTATGAAAGTGCGCACATTACACCGATTTGACATCGGCCGATTCTTCATACAAATTAAAATCGGGCCCAACTATTCGGCCAACTAAAAGTTGGTGGTCTGCGCCTAGGCTTAGTGTCATTTAAGTTATCTCAATACTTTGGAAAACATCTTAAAAATTGGTTCCAACTTTGTCACTTTGCCTAGTCTGAGGGAAGTTTTTTAGCATCTGTACATTACATACTTATGGTACTCTTCACCAATCCGTACTGGTGGAATTTTGCCAGTGCAAATGGTTGGAGCCCCTGCTCTTCTGGCAGGGAGAGCCCCACATAACCCATTGCCCCCCGTGCCATTGGGTATGAAGCATTCTGTGGTTGGAGTGAGGCCTATGCCCCGAAATGGGATGCTACCTAGTATACATTAAGCTTACTTTGCTTTTTTATTTAGACCGAAATACTATTCGTAAAAGTTCCATGTTTCGTTCATAGAAACCTTGTTAGTGCTAAGAAAAATCACCCTGTACATATCTTATCAATGCATATCTCTAGACCTGACCCCGCTATCTGACAATTAACTTTAATGGATATATTTAAATTAGTGCTCCACACTCAATTGACAACATTACTATCTGCACTGATAATACCCGAAAAACTATGGGGTCCTACTGCGAAACTCTATTATAATATTCGACTTTATCCATCTCCCTTCCTCATGCAATAATTAAAAGAGGCGAAAAATTCAATGTGTCGAAAATACTTTTCAGGGTTGACCCCCTATCAATACAATGATGGCACGTCAAACTAAATAATTAGGCATCTTGTGTGCTTGTAGGGGAGAGTTCGGTATATTGTACCGCCGGGTAAATTGTACCACCCTCATATTTCGTAAAGTATTTATTGAATGTCTGTAATTGCAACACTCAGCGATACACAACTAAAATCAATTAATATCGGCCATGTGGTTTTTGCCGTGACAACAAAGACGTGTGTTTTATTTTGAAAAGTATTTTTTCATTGTTTTCAAGTAACTTTTGACAATACATGTTTAGTTTGTAATTTTGTTAAATTTAATCACAGGGTGTTTCTAATATATTATTTAGAAGCGTAAATTAGTGTGAATTACAATTATTTGAAACATTTTTCGGTATTTATAAGCTATATTTTTTTACCGATTTTTCAAAAGCACTATCACCTAGTCGGCTAAATTGTACCACATCAAGTTGTATGGAACTTTACCAAAGGATTTTGAAATTTTTTTTAGTAAATCATATTTTGAAGTTATAATAGCGTAGTTATGTTTGACTAACAATAAATGAAAGCAAAAGACTGGCAAAGTAGATTAGGTACAAGTGTGCGTTACGATAATTGGAATTACAAAACTTGTACTCAAAATCGTGATAACGTGTAAAACAATATCGATTGTCTATGTTATTAACTACTGTTCCTTTTCGTTTCCTAATTTGTTAAGAATGTATCGTATAATATTTTGCCATAGTTTTTTTATAGGCTTGAAATTTATTGAAATCCAATTTAGTAACCCTGTGGTACAAATTATCGAACCGGTTGGCTAAATTGGACCGAAGCTCTGAACTCGTACTTTGTTGATTTGTGCTAAATATACAACAATCATGTTAATTAATACTTATGAAATAGTAAGTTGAATAATGTATCTTTTATAATATACCATGGACATTAGCAAAAACAAAAGAAAACTATGTGTAAAATGGGATTGAAAAAAACTGGTCCAAATTAGCGGACTCTCCCTTAATTGGGGCTATTTTGCAATGAAAAAAGTCGTACATACTTATCTGCGTAGACTACGTGATGTTTTGAATTTACCAATGTCTAAAGTTTATGTTTTTAACTTAATCTTGAATGTAAACACGAGCATAATAATTAAAAATAATAGCGGCAACGTCTTTTGTTTCAGATACCCACACCAACAAGTACCTAGGTAAGTGTTTTCGACAATAACCTAATTTCGCGGAAAGCGGTATGGGAGCGGCACGGGAGGGGTGACATTGACATATTATGACGTGACAAAGATATAGTTCCAAAATTCTGAACTGTCCTATGGATGACATTGACAGAGGGGCGCCACCGTCAATACCGGATCGCTGGTTCAGATTTTTGCCATGTTTGAAACCATATAGTTGAACGATGGTAGCGCCCCCCTGTCATTGAGTTTGGTGGGACAGTTCAGCGCTCAGAATACAGAACAAACCAGAAGGAGTGTTCGATAACATTTCTACGCGGCAACTTGTGTCCAAAATACTTCCCCTCCCGCGCCCCTCTACCCCCTTTAGTGTTACTAGCGCCGTGTGACACCCCCATTTTCGGGGTAAAATTATGTAATTTTTTAATGAGATGTTAAACAAGTAAAAAATAAGTAAGTGAAATAAGTACACACGGCCACAGTATTAACTATCCATTTCCGTTTTTGCTCTCGCTCTCATCAAATGGTGATTCTTTGCGATAGAACGAGACGACATGACTGGCCATAGGCATAGATAGTACCTACCTACCTATGAATTTAATTTTTACTCCGAAGTAACTAAGTGTAGATGATTATTTATTTCTATTAAATAGTGTAATATACTACATGTAGGTATAATATGTTATTTAAAAGTCAATTACAAAATTCGAATATAAATTTTAGAATGCCAAGTAAAACAAAAAAGAAACTTAAGGTTCTTTATTATGTAAACATATCGACAACAAAACATTTGTTTACGGCGCAGTAGTGCTTTTAGTTTAACTTTTCTTGGAGTCAAAAACAGAATCCAAATCAATAACATCACCAATACTTGAATTTGATTGCGAGGCAACTCTGGCTGTGTATCCTGAAAGAAAATCAGAGTAAGTATGTAAGCAATAATTAATTACTTAAAATTATTATTAAATATACAAATATTGCTGCTGCTGATCTGTTGATACCAATGCCTTACTTTTGAATAAATGGGAAAGTATGAAATTCACGATAGTAATTTATTATCTCCTCATTATTTAGGGAGTAATATTATAAATTAATTCAAATATTAAAATCAAATCAAAATCAAAAATATTTATTCAGTTTAGACCACAAGTGGCACTTATAATTTAATTAATCAGGTTGTCATATTGTCATGGATGAAAATACACTAAAAACTAATTAAAACAAAAAGGATGGGGAAAATATTCCATTATTCTGTGGTAACGCTAACAAAATTAACGCGTGAATTTTTTATAGACAAATGTAATTCAATATAAAAAAGTAGGGTAAAATATTCCGTAGACTTGTGGCAACACTTACAAAATACAACCGTGATTTTTTTTGAAAATTATTATTTAATTAAAATGAATTGGAAATGTGCTACTTACGGATAAAACATGTTCCCATGCACTTTCTTCGTAATTCCAGTAGCATTCCTACATGTTGGAACGGCACAAGACGGCATAATTTAATTTTAAAGTGTCAATCTGACGGATATGTAAACAATGCGCGCGCCGGCCATTGACTAATTGCTCTAAAGTCAAAGTAGTGCGTTTTGGAGTAATTTATATGAATACACATTTACGCCCGTTGACGGTTTCTGGTTTGTTCCGTATTCTGAGGTTCAGCGTGGGTCATCTATACAAATCTGAAGCAAATTTAATTTTGAAGTCTAGCAGACGTTTGACGTCCCAAAAAGGGTGTTTTTGATTCCCGTGCCACACTCATTCCTCAGGCACTGAGTTAAGGCTAGACTTATAGCAAACTAGCTGACCCGGCGAAATTTGTTCAGCCTTAATGGCAATAAATAAGCAGACTTTTTTTTTAATTTCGAACGGGATAAAAAGTATCCTATGTCTTTCTCCTGGCTCTAAACTACCTCCCTGACAATTTTCAGCTAAATCGGTTCAGCCGTTCTTGAGTTATAAATGGTGTAACTAACACGACTTTCTTTTATATACAGGGTGTTTGGTAAATGGGTATATGAGCCGACACTAGCCCATGTTAACATGGGCATATAAATGGTATGGTGAAGTCAGAAATTTGATATCACCATAATAATAATAATTACACTTTGCACACCAAAGATAAGAACAGAAAGAAAAGGAACAGGAAGAAAAAAATAAATTTTATAAAATCATCCGATTTATATGAAAATTAAAATAATTTTAATGAAGATATCAATTTTCTGACTTCATCATACCATTTATATGCCCATGTGAACATGGGCTAGTGTCGGCTCATATACCCATTTACCTAACACCCTGTATATAGATAATAACTTTATAATCATCAATCTTAGTTTAACACAGATTGACAAAGTTTTCACTCGGAAAAAATGTACCTACTGTCTTACGTGAGTCTTGAACTCTTTTCAAAAGTTTTGATAGACACTACACTAACTATCGTTATGTGCATGTATACGTACACACACGAGTAAAGCTCACTCGCTTTCGTGAGTTGCAAGAACTATGCAAAAGAAACCACACAACCTTGATGCTAAAATGTATAGTCGAGACGGATAATCACTCTGTTAGAGTTTAAGGTTAATTCAAAAGAGATGATCCTAAAATCCTGATGTCAAGAGAACTGCATTACCATAAGTAAGTAAAACAAGCGTTTCATTATGAAAGAAATAATATATTTACAATATAGATAGACATAACAATGTACAAATTGAAATCTATTTACAACAATATTTTACACATCCCAAACATGAAAAAATCCAAATAAATCTTGTACTGACATTAATATAACTGTACTTTTGGTAAAAGGTAAAACTTTACCTATCTAAATAAAACTAAATAATATCTCTTTAAATTAATACAAACATCTTATAGTGCACGTAAAACTATACTTAAATTAATATTTACAAAATGTACATTTCATACTCCTTTGTTCGTCCTACCGTCATCAAAAAAGACAAAAATTAATTTTATAATTTTTGTAAAAGATGGCTGCTGAATTACATTTTGAATTTTAAAAATGGAATAACTTACAATTTTCTTGTCTTCGAAATTACATTTTTTACTCAACAAATGGCTACATTAGTCTAATAATTCCATGTTGACAGTGTTAAAATTTCAAATATCGAAAATAGAATGTCATTTTGTTTTTTAATTCACTGCGGTGCACTCGGCGCGTTTGGCGACGGAGAACTAGAGACAGGTGGTTGAACCATGGCTAGATGCGGCGGCATGGCCATGGGGGGTAGCGGACGCCCGCCCCCCATTAAGGGGTGGGGGTGGAAGTACTGCTGGAGCGCCGGGTGGGGGTACAAGTGGTGGGGGTGTCGGGAAAATTGCGCCATTTTAAGTTTCTCGATCTCCGCCTCTTGTACACGCTTCGCTTTCGCCCGCCGGTTTTGGAACCAGATTTTTACCTGTTGGCAAAAGAGATTTGATGTTAGTTTGTTTTGCAATGATTGGAATAAGTAGACCCTTCCTGATTAAGTTGTTGAGTCAAGCGGTCAACAGAACCTAGAGACAACTATTCATTGTACAAATAATATATTTTTAAGTGATTTAAAGCTTATTCTAGGTAAAATTTAGATATTTATGTAAGTAAAGCGTAAGCAGTACTTAGTACGATTAGGAGTCCTTGGTCGTATCAGACAATATGGGATATACTCGTATGTACCTACATAATGTAGGTAAGTAGGTAATGATAATGATGATGCTAAATGAAATGGAGTGTAAGCAAAATTAGTACTAGTTTTATAACAGGTATTATTATTAGTTAGATCTCTAAACTGAGCAATTAATTTGTATGTTTATTTATTCACAAAATGCGACCATAAAAAATTTCGCTTTAATTATAATGCTTAGAGTATTGGGCCATTTAATTTTACGATAGGCGCGAGTATAAAATCACAGATCACTTATCGCATAATTTTGCGAATAGAAAGTCCAATTCCAAATAGCTGACCAAGTTTCAAACGTTTTAATTTTCTCGCCTCAGTGTTTATACTCGTAGTTATAAAATAATATGAATCGATATTGTTTATTTAAAAAAAAAGAAAGCTCCTATTCACAATCTTGTTGATTTTGACCAATCATGTAAAAAAATATAATAAAATGGCTAAAGGTATTACTGAAAAAAATACTTTGATCAAAACATTAGAACAATAAATACCTGTTATAGTAAAATAAATGTTGTGAGAGTTATTATGACTTAAGTTGTAACAACGCATTATCATCATCAGTGAATTTATACGTTTACATATAGAACACTAACGTACTGGGACAAACTTGACCTTCACTGGTTGGGTTATCCTTGGCGGTAAAGCTGTAGATCCTGGCTGCATAAGAATTCACTGGTGGGGAAAAGTAGCAGTCCCGAATAACGTACCTGTGTTTCAGATATACCGAGTGACGGCTGGAAGACTTAGTGTGGCCAGGCTTCCACAAGGCGGACTATCTGGTGAAGGTCATGGGGTATACCTGGATGCGAGTAGCGCAGGACTGGTTGTTTAGAAGATCATAGGGGAAGACCTTTCTTCAGTGGAGGCAATTTGGCTGAAACGATGGAGCAAATGATGGATCGCTGACTTGTTACCTGAGTTTCGGATAGTCCAAGCGATGAGGAGAACTCTGCTCTCTCAGCGATGCTAAGGTATTGCTTCTCCACGAACTTGCTTTCAAGCGCGCGCAGCTGCTGTGCGGTGAAGGGCGTACGAGGCTTGCGACTCCAGATGTAACAGTACGAGTGACGCAAAGGTTAGAGAAAGTATACCAGTGTTTTGAGGAGAATCCTGTTCTTTCGGCGACGCTGAGGTACTTGAACTTCACGAACTTGTCAGCAGATAAATACAAACGTAGAACGGTGACGTACCTGTGTTTCAGATAGTCCGAGTGATGAAGAGACCACGGGCTGGTAGAACTGGTCGTTGTAAAGATAATTGGAGAAGACCTTTCTCCAGTGGAGGGAAATTGGCTGAAACGATTGAGCGAATCGCTGACATACCTGAGTTTCCGACAGTCCAAGTGACGAAGAAAACTCTGCTCTCTCAGCGATGCTAAGGTACTGCTTCTCCACGAACTTGCTTTCAAGCGCTCGCAGCTGCTGCGCGGTGAAGGGCGTACGAGGCTTGCGGTTGGGCTTGTGCTTGCGTAAGTTGCACTTTAGCTTGGCCGGCTCGCCGTTGGCGTCTGTTGAAGAGGAAGAAGCGGTTAGTTGTCATCATCAGGTCATTGATATAGTTTATTTGAATCACCATAATGTCACATAGGGGAGATAAGGCTTAAAGCTAGACAAATCTCTATGATGAACCCTGGACTGCAATCAAAGGGAGGAGGATTTATTAAATAATCACAGCCTATCAAAAATCACAAGCTTTTGTCTCTACTGTAGGAGCTAGACCCTCTCCAATTTGGCTTAGCGTCAGTCGAAGAGAATAAACTGTTAGATGGTGGTGGAGGGTTAAGATTTGGGAAGATGAAATGTCTTTGACGCGTTAGTTTCCAGAGTATTTCGTTACGATATTCGTAGAAAGTAAAAATGTAACATATGATTACTATACTACTTATTCCCCAATTACCAAAATTTTCACTTTACTAAAAAACCCTTGAATCACTTTGGTAAATTACTGGTTTAATGATATAATAATATAATTTTAAATGGTCTTGTCAAATCGTAAATGTTCGAATAACAGCTGGATTAAGAACGAGGCGTACCTACCTAAATGACTACCATTTCAAACTTTAGTACTTTTACAATACATAGTATTTTATAAATTTACTGAAAGAAGGGCTGGTAATATTGAGTTCAGAAGTTAATCTTTAGTAGTTGCTATTACCTACTCTTAATGCCTTTGAACAATGTGGTAAGTATTCGAAACATTAGAAATGAATCCCCCGTCCCCATTTAGCATGCCCAAATCCATCCACATCTCAATAAAACGAAACAATCCAACCCAAGAATGCCGCTTCATTCATTCGCTAATAAATCGCATAATAAAACTCATATAAAATAAGAGACGCAGGAAGCAACCGCGCGCCATTGCCGATAAAATCTAAAAAGAGGTAATTTTTAACTTATTTAGCGATGAAAACAAGTATTAGTAAGCTAATCGTTTAGTTTTATAGCGGTGATATAGCGGTGACGTAGAAAATTTTGATTTAAACGCCCACGCGTGGTTTTGTCCGATGCGAATCGAGATAAAATTTCGTCAGAATCGTATTATATCGAGATATTTGGAAACTCGATTTTAATTGTGCCGTTTGGTGGCGCAACTTTTGATTGTTATCTTCTGTTTTGTCTCTGGTATTTTTATCTAAACCAATACAGATGTTTGTCCTAAATTCAAGGTTATTAGGATTTTTGCATAATAAGATGCTGAACTAATATTGGAGTTTGAACAAATTGATTGCCTCAGGTGAGAATGGAACCCACGACCCTTTACTTGCTAGGAAACTGATAAATCCAACGATCTTCATTCAGTTGGTTAAACTCGAACTTGCTAAAGTCGAAAATGTTATTTCGATCAATGAAAATGATTGTACATAATATTATTTAATTTTTAAATTACCAATGTTAAGTAATAGCAAAATTAATTAATGTTGTTTCTAATCGACATAAATTCAATGAATTATAACCTTCCCACACTTGTTTTCATCGTAAATATTAATAATTATAACCAATTTCAATTACATACTACGAAATTTATTCCACAATAAATATAGAGTCAAGTATGTTCGCACGCAAAACTATGTTAGAAGGTGAAGAACTTGAAGAATTACCGTATTTATTAAGTTTTTTTAGATGATCAAAGAAAAACATGATAATATTATTATGTATGCGGAATCTTTTATTATTTGAATCCAGGATGCCTAAGAATCCGATAAAAAGAAAAATTACTGTTTAAAATTTTACAATGGCTTGACTTGACGCTAGCATCGATATCTTTTTAAAAGAAGATTGTACAAATTACTAATAGTTCCGTTAACCGTTCGCGGTCAGTTAAATATTATTATCTTAAATTCGAATATTTATTTACCAAATTTTAGATACGCATAGAATCTTAAAACTAGTATAACATAAATAGAGCGCCAAAAGCTGTATAAGTAGTCAGCCTATTACTAAACTTACTGAAGGCTTAGTGTGAGTTTGCATCAAACGTCCTCACAATTGAGCGCGTATAAAAATGACATTAAATGTATGTCGGATTGTACAGCGCCCCTAGCGGAAACGTTCAAGAACTAATTTTTTCTTAATTTTTTTTATCGCGCTCACTAGTGAGAACGTTTGATGCAAACTCACACTCAGCCTACTGATTGAGACTTCGCTGTGACCTAATTCATATGAATCACTGTTATCTAACACTGATCGACTGAGACGTACACAATTGATTACAGACCTGAATGAACCGTTTTAATAGACTGTAGCCCACATAATTAGCTATCAACTAATTGCTGTTTAAGTACTAATTAACGTTTTTGACTGATGATGGATTGGGGAGCACGTGTTGAGAGTTTATTGCTAGATAACAGGGGCACTTCAAGCTGAATACTGTGTCATCTTACGTAATGGTAATAACGGTTATTTTCCAACAAAAATGTATACCTTAATGTGCGTCGTCTACTTTCCTATCTGAGAGCTAACGAACGCGACCATAAAATAGTTATGGTTCACTAATTACGTTATATCGATTACTGTTTTTTTATCAGGCCATAAAGGAGGCACCTAATTATATTTTGGACTTATTAAGAGCTTATTTAACACCATTGAATCTTATTTGGTTGTAATAGGTACTGATTTGCAACATTTTGATGTTTTGTCGACTATACTACCAGTTTCCTGCCTTAATCGAAACTTTAATAGCGTCCTTAAATAGTACAATATTACAGTACATTTTTATGATAACAACAAAAAATTAAAGTGGAGCAATAACTCATTTATTCAAAACATCTGTCAAACATCATCTTGAGAAACACGCGAATCCGTGTACCGCCTAATTATGTTAATAAATTTATTTATACGCAAAATTTATTGCCGTCCATAACTCCGAAAACATGTTAATATACTTTGACAGGTAGCACTCGCATTAATAAACTTTGAAATTAATAATCACGGCGCCTGCAGTCGAATAAAGGGCGTAAGCGACGTCGCTTAATAGCTAATGGTCCAAAAAAGTCGGGTGAAAAAAGACGTAAATTATGTGACAGGGGAAAAAAGTTAAAGTGTATTAATGTCGTGTTTGGCGAACGTCAAAGCGCCGACGAGCGCGAGCGACCGAAATAAAACTTAGAGCAGGCGCACACGAATGCTAAAACTAGTTTAAGGCTTTAAGCGCCCTTATGATTTTGAGTAAGTACCTACTTATTTATTTATTTTAAAAAAGTCAAGTAAGAAAGAAAGTCGATATCAAAGATAAATCTTTAGATAATATCGAAACCATGCTATACACAATTTACTAATTTATTAATGATCAATTAATATTAATGTGAATAAACTCCGCTTTTGGTAGCAATAACAAGCCAAATGGTCATCATCAATATCATATTACACAGCGGTGTGTAACTTAAAGAGCGGAGTCTGTAACTCGCGTCGTTAATGTGTCAACGGCCTAATACGCGGGAGCTGTTAAATTACCTTTAAAATACTTATATGGAGCTGTCGGATTTCGTTTTCTTGTTAATTGTCTAAAGAGATATCGACTGCAGATGTTAGAACGGAGTTATGTTGTTGTGACTCGCCAGCGACGAGAGAAATATGAGTCGTTTTAACTCACTTAAGCATCCATTGTAGCGTTTAAAAAAGGAACGCGAGAATGAATTATGAAAAGTTGGGGTGTTTTTAAAATTGGAATTAAAATCCGTGTTTTTGCCGACGGTACCTAATGGTCGGACTGCTAAAAAGACAGTTGATATATTAATGAGTGTTTGCTTTTTGTATGCATTGCACCATTAATCCTGCGAGGCGTGGTATGTCATTCATTCCAATATTTTAAACGGTCACTGTGTGCTTGACGTTTTTGTTGTCCGTACAAGAGAGGCGGGCATTCCACGCGTCTCGGGGGCTGTTCCAACATGTTTCCTTTTACTTCGGATTTCCATATTAAAACGGTATTATTCTGCTAATGTAGAGAGATCGGTTCTCATAAAGTGCGAATGGGACGTGGCATTCTTATAGTTAAAATTAGATTAAAGTTAAAAACGGCCGTCATTTTTGCCCGCAAATTGCGAAGCAAATGCAAATCAGGTAGAAAGAATGTGATATGTCTATCGCGGTGTGTTTATTCAAATTATGTTTAATTATACGTCAGCCTTTTTCACTGTAAATGTGTTTAAGTAGCATTTAGTGGACGCTACAAGAAGTTTACATGAGCACATGTTGCCTTATACTGCTAACTAATAGTTATTTCTAGTATCTAGTTACAATGGTAATTAAGGTTTGTCTGGGTTCTTAACCAGATGGTTCGTTAGGAGAGGTTTCTTTAATGTTTTCTTGCATCTAATTAGATGTAAACAATTATATTGATTGTCTTGTAATAAGTAGTCTAAGACGTGCCTGAAAAAATTTAAAGACGTCTTCTTTGGAGCTTTTTATTAGGCTGTCATTATTAGGCAGGTACGTTAACACTATCTGTCAGATTATGACTTTGGGTTTAAATTCTTGTGCTCAACACTAAGGCTAAGGCTGGGTTACACCATCTTATTTTAAAATGTCAAAAATCTGTCAAACTCCATGCAAAAACACCGCTTATGGCTATAGTTACGGTTATATTAAGGTGGTGCCAAATATAACAAAAACCGTTAAAATTAAACTAGGGCTAATAGCCAACCTGGGCCATTTAAACTAACTTAAGCACTTTCACGTCGTCATCCAAAAATTTCACTAAACGAACGATTATCTAAATCACTTCGACAATAAATTGTCGAACTCTACCTCAGAATGAACATTTAAATATCTTCCACAAAACAAAATACATCAAAGTCGCTACAGGCTGTAAATAAATAGTTAACAAAGAACTACCCACAAAATCTTCTCGAATTCCTTTGCAATATTTACAGGATTCTTTGAGATTGTGAACGAAAGAATCATAGAAGAATGATAGACTCTATTTCTCGCTCTTCCTATTTTTATTGTCAATCAAGTACTTTGAAAAATTGAGACTTGCACTGTACAGTATTTTTATTTACGCCCGTTT